TCATTCCACCTCCTCCTCCTCCTCCTCCTCCTCCTCCTCCTCCTCCTCCTCCTCCTCCTCCTGTGTTCACGTGTGTACATTATGGCAAGCCTTCAGGGACGGGGGCGAGGTAAACTGTGTACGGAGAGGCGGCCGTGCTAGGGCTATTGCAACCGCCAGGTGTAAACAGCGTCCAGGCGAGTAATGGCGCCAGGTAAACTGTTTTGTGCGCGTGGGGGGGAGGGGGGGAGAGAAGAGGGAGGAGGGGGTAGGAAGGGGGGGGGCAGAGAAGAGAGAGGAGGAGGTAGGAGGGGGAAGAGAAGAGGGAGGAGGGGGTAGGAGGGGGAAGAGAAGAGGGAGGATGGAGAGAGGGGGGGTAAAAGGAGGGGGTAGGGGAAGAAGTAGGGGACGAGGGAAGGAGGATTCGAGGGGGGGAAGGAGAGAAAAGAGGGAGGAGGGGGAGGTGGTAAAAGGAATGGATGGGGGGGGGGGGTGTTCGTGACGTGAGCGGCGGCCGATGTTCGCCTTTTGCCCTAAAACTTCCTCGTTCTCTTCTTCCTCTTTCTTCGTTTTCCCTCCATTCTCCTCTTCATTCGAGTTTTCCGAGGCTTTGTTTGTGATTCTCTTCCTCTTCTCCTTTCTTTCAGTTCTTACTTTTTCTCTTCTCTTTTTTTTTTCTTTTTCTTTTGAAAGCGCTTCTCACTTTCTCTCTCTCTCTCTCTCTCTCTCTCTCTCTCTCTCTCTCTCTCTCTCTCTCTCTCTCTCTCTCTCTCTCTCTCTCTCTCTCTCTCTCTCTCTCTCACGAAGAGGTAGGTTTTTTAATTGTCTTTGATTTTCATTATGTATGTGTGCGAACTTTACTTATTTTTATCTTAGATCTGATATATTTTCTTTTGTTTTCAATTTTATATTATTTTTCCCCCCACCGGGTGCTGCATTTTGGTCCTATCATCAATTTTTTGGGCGTATAAACAGTGGAATTGCCTCTAACGAGCAGTCGATCGGCGATAGACCGGAAATTAAGGCTGGTGGAAGCCGGTGGGCGGCAGGGGGTAGGGGGGGAGGGGGAGGAGGTGATAGGCCGGGGGGGGGGGGGCTAACGTCATACCGCCGGTCGTAAGTGAGCTAAGTTTTAAATAGATTTTTTTTTTCATTAATTAAAGTAAAGAATTCAGTAACTTCGCTCTATGTGTGTGTGCGGGGGTTTGGGGGGGGAGTAGGTATGGTGGGGGGATAAGGGAGAGTGGATGGGGAGTGGAGGAGTGGGGATAGGGGGGGTAGGGGGGTGGAGGAGCGATTAAGAGCTAATGAATAGGTATGTAATTTGGGTGTAATAAGGATAGGCCTACCTTTAAGATCATTAGATGAATTTAGGTCCGTTCCCTGGAGGCATAGTGGAGGAGGAGGTGGAGGAGTTGGGGGGGGTGTCTTCTTGTATTTCATTTCTGTTCCTTTATCACATTACTCTTTTTGTCTATCTTCATTTTCTTTTTTTTCGTTTGTCTGTGTGTGTGTGTGTGTGTGTGTGTGTGTGTGTGTGTGTGTGTGTGTGTGTGTGTGTGTGTGTGTGTGTGTGTACAGATTGCTATACGCACTCAAGGTTGTAGGGCTCGAGTTGTGTACATCCGCCCTTTCGAGTGTACATTAACCTGTATACATTTGCCCCGTTTGTGTACATTATGGGGTGGATTGGTGAGCCTGGTTGTTGGAGCGTGAGGTGTGAGGTGTGAGTTGTGAGGTGTGAGTTGTGAGGTGAGAAATGAGGCAAGGAGAGAAGGCGAGAACCTGCGTCCGCCTCGCCTCGCCTTGCCTTGAGAGCTTTTTGTAAATAAACAGGGTACTCTCTCTCTCTCTCTCTCTCGCCTTCTCTCTCACACTCTCTTTGTTTTAATTTTCTTCCTTTCATTTGTGTTTTTTTTTTCTTTTTTTTTTTTCTTTTTGCGTTGAGGGAGGGGTTGTTTGTATCCTTTCTGCTCTTTTTGATTTTTTCCATCTATCTTCGCTTTTTTTCCCCCTCTTTCTTTTCTTCCTTCTCCTTTTCTGCTCTTTCGTATTTCTTCCTCCACTTCCTTCGCGTGTCCGTGTGAGCAGCAGGCCCGCCGGCCGGACGCAGTTTCCACCCCCTTTTCCCCGATATCCGTAATCGTCGAAAGCGAAATCGGCGCTGAAAGGAAAGTGTCGCTAACTGAGAGAAAGAGAGAGGGAGAAAAAAGAGAGAGAGAGAGAAAAAAGAGAGAGAAAAAAGCCGTCGCAATCGGCCGAAACACATGGCGCCCGAGATTGATTTCCACTTCTGGGACACCTGTCATGCAAACCCTTGCACTCACGGCTATTTTGCCTTTCGCCTTTTCAAATAAGGAGAGGAAAAAGAGAGAGCGACGTAATGTATTCCTTAGCGTATGTGCTTTTTTGTGTTTTTTTTTTCTTTCTTTCTTTCTCTTTTTTTTTCTATTTCTCTCTTTCTTTTATTCTTTCTTTCTTTTATTCTTTCTTCCTCTTTCTTTCTCTTCCTTTCTCTTTCTTTCTTACTCTTTCGTTCTTTCTTTCTTTCTTTCTCTTTCTTTCTTTCTTTCTTTCTCTTTCTTTCTTTCTTTCTCGCTTTCTATCATTCTCCCTCTCCCTCATGGGGGGGGGGTAGGGGGAGGAAGGAAGCGTGCGTAATAGAATGAAAGAAAAAAAAATACAAAGAGAAAGAGAAAAGAGATAGAGAGAGAATGGGAAATGCACTTCAG